GTAGTGGGATTCAAGACAACACAGGGGTCTCACGTATGTGAGGGGATCCAGAGTAGTGTTTCCGAGCAGAGAAAACTTTTTTGTTTTCTTTGGGTTTTTTAATTCCCGGATCAGGGTCTGGAGACCAGAGGCTTCGAAGAGATTTGGGTGGGATGAAGCCTCTACCCCTTTGTCCAGTCTTACCTAACCAAGGCCCTAAGCTTAATGTTTCTGCCTGGACCAATCCTTTTACCACGTCTTTGCTTGCTGTCTGTATTGACTGTGGCCTTTTTATGGACCATGTTTCTGTCTTCTTCCTGGACCACTACTTTGCCTGTTTGCTCACCATGTCTATGCATGACACCGGTACTGACCCATCTGCACATCCCACTGGCTACCTTCCTGCAAGACACTGGTGCCACCCATCCTCTGCACTGAAACAACAGGTACTCTTTGGTTTATCTTTTGTTCAACTTCTTGGTGAATGAACATAGTGCTATGTGGACAGCCACGTACTAGTAGGTTAAGCTCCAGGACCTCCAAAATTGTGATACGTAGTCAATAAATTAGATGTGTAATTTTTGCCCTTAGTATGCCTAACGGTGCTTATTGCATGTGGGGCCCCTCCATTTGGTTAGGCTGTGAAAAAGTCTTGCACGTGTGGTATCGTTATGCTCAGGAAGAGTTAGAGAATGTGTTTTGGGGTGTAATTTTAAGTATGCCTATGCAGTGTATTAGAAATATCTTCTATATTGACAACTTTGCATAGAAAAAAATACATTTTCATTTTCTTTTAACATATTCCAAAAAAAAATGAAGTCTTCAGAAGACTCCCCATGCCTCTTAAAACATACCTTGGGGTGTTTGCTTTCCAAAATGGGGTCATTTTGTGGATAATTCCATTGCCCTGATGCTCCAGGACCTATATAACAGGTGCTTATTGGATGTGGAACCCTTCTATGTGGCCAGACTGTGAAAAAGTCTCACACATTTGGTATCGCCATATTCAGCAGGAGTTAAAGAATGCATTTTGAGGTGTAATTTTAAGTATGCCTATGCTGTGTAATAGAAATTTCTCATAGATTGACAACTTTGCATAAAAAAAAATATATTTTCATTTTCTTTTCACATTTTTCCAAAAAAACTTATGGCAAAAAATTAAGTCTTCAGAAGACTCCCCATGCCTCTTAAAACATACCTTGGGGTGTTTGTTTTCCAAAATGGGGTCTTTTTGTGGATAATTCCATTGTCCTGATGCTCCAGGACCTCCAAAACAGCAATAGGTAGTTAAGAAATTAGATGTGCGATTTTTGCCCTTAGAACGCTAACAGGTGCTTATTGGATGTGGAACCCTTCTATGTGGCCAGACTGTGAAAAAGTCTCACACATTTGGTATCACCATATTCAGGAAGAGTTAGAGAATGTGTTTTGGGGTGTAATTTTAAGTATGCCTATGCAGTGTATTAGAAATATCTCATAGATTGACAACTTTGTGTAGAAAAAAATACATTTTTTTCATTTTCTTTTCGCATTTTCCAAAAACTTGTGGCAAAAAATGAAGTCTTCAGAAGACTCTGCATGCCTCTTAAAACATACCTTGGGTTGTTTGCTTTCCAAAATGGGGTCATTTTGTGGATAATTCCATTGCCCTGATGCTCCAGGACCTCCAAAACGGCAATAGGTAGTCAAGAAATTAGATGTGTAATTTTTGCCCTTAGAACGCTAACAGGTGCTTATTGGATGTGGAACCCCTCTATGTGGCCAGACTGTGAAAAAGTCTCACACATTTGGTATCGCCATATTCAGCAGGAGTTAAAGAATGCGTTTTGAGGTATCATTTTAAGTATGCCTATGCTATGTAATAGAAATATCTCATAGATTGACAACTTTGTGTAAAAAAAAATACATTTTCATTTTCTTTTCACATTTTCCAAAAACACGTGGCAAAAAATGAAGTCTTCAGAGGACTCCACATGCCTCTTAAAACATACCTTGAGGTGTTTTCTTTTGAAAATGGGGTCATTTTGTGGGTAATTCAATTGTCCTGGTGCTCCAGGACCTCCAAAACTGTGATAGACAGTCAAGAAATTAGATGTGTAATTTTTGCCCCTAGAACGCCTAAGGGTGCTTATTGGATGTGGGGCCCTTCTATGTGGTTAGGCTGTGAAAAAGTTTTACACATGTGGTATCGCCATACTCAGGATGAGTAGCAGAATGTGTTTTGGGGTGTAATTGCCTATGTATGCCTATGCCGTGTGAGAGAAAGAACTTGTTAAATGACAACTTTTTGTGGGGAAAAAAAAAAGAATTTTTTTTTACTTTCATCATTTCCTTAAAAAATTGGCAAAAAATGACAACTTCAAAAAACTCCCCATGCCTCTCATTAAATACCTCAGACTGTATACTTTCCAAAAAGGGTCGTTTGGGGGGTATTTGTACTGTCCTGGCATTTTAGGGCCCCAAGAAATTATATAGGTAGTCCGTGCATCAGGATTGATACATTTTCAAATATATCAAATATATATACCGTGGTCTGTGGACTCTATAACTTTCACAAAGACTAAATAATACACACTGATTTGGTTATGTCTACCAACAAAATGTAGCACAATGGATTTTGGCCTAAATTTATGAAGAAAGTATATTTATTTGCAAAATTTAGTATCAAATACTAAGAAAAAACATGTTTTTTTTTCAAAATTTTCAGTCTTTTTTCATTTTTCTAGCAAAAAATAAAAACCCCAGTGATGATTAAATACCACCAAATTAAAGCTCTATTTGTTTGAAAAAAATGATAATAATTTCATTTAGATACAGTGTTGTATGCCTGAGTAATTGTCATTCACAATGTGAGAGCGCCGAAAGCTGAAAATTGGCCTGGACAGGAAGGGGGTAAAAGTGTCCGGACAGGAAGTGGTTAAAGCTGAATTCCAGGTATGATCTTAACCCCTTAGCGCCGGAGCCTCCCGGCCCTTTAAGGGCTTCAGAAGCCAGGAGGTGTGTCCCACCTCTCCACTTTGTCCAATCAGAGAATGCCCTGTATTCACTGAAAAAATATTGGAGACCTTGCAGAACAAGAAAACCACCCCCGGGTGGGTCCAGAACCTGGAAGATTGCAGCAGCCACTGTAGCAGCGCAGACCCCTCACACTGGGAGCTGATGTTGCATTGCTACACCAAGCATGCCATTTCCTTCTAGCTCCTGGGCCATAGCAAAAATGTTTCCACCTTGCAGTGCTTTTTTTTTGCTTATGTTTCCTTAAAACAACGATGACATACTTAAAGTGGAGCTCCGCCCAAAAGGGGAAGTTCCACCTTAAGGACTGCTCCCCTGCTCCCCATTAGGGATTGGCACCTTTGGGGGGCGGGTACCCCAATTTGACAGGTACCCGCTCCCACTTCCGGTCTGATCGCCTAGGCGATCGGAAGCGGAAGGTGTCCTCCTACCCTCCCTCCCTGTAGTCTTTTGGGGCACGTGACAGGTCCCAGAAGACTACAGGACCATTTACGAAGTGCAGCGCTACTACTCGCGCATGCGCAGTGGGTACCCAGCTATAAAGCCGCAAGCTATCACAGCCGGGTGCCCACATTGAAGATGCCAGCCTCCTGGAATACAGGAAGGCTGGTGAAACGGGATGAGGGGGGCACACCATAGGACCGAGGGACAGGTAAGTGACTGTTTTTTTAAAAGTCAACAGCTACAGTTTTTGTAGCTGCTTACTTTTATTTTTTGATACGTTGAGTGGAACTCCACTTTAACTGATTATATTGTGGAATGTTTTTATCTGCTAACTGATGTTAAAAGGAATTCACTTATACTTGGATAGAAACACTTTTTAGAGCTAGCAATTCTGCAGTGCCTGCCCTTGCTCGTATAAGTATTTCCTGCAGAATCTGTTTTAATTTTTCACTCTGAAAATCAACAGTACAGACAAGGGATGGCAATATTTTCACTAGTAACTGAAAAAATAGGCTGAAAAACTACTAACGCCAAATGAGACTTTAAAGTGGTTGTAATGGTTCAATGGTTTTTTACCTTCTGCGTGCAGCAGCACCCAGTAGCCCCCCCCTCCCCCCCACACACACCCACCTGAGCCCCCCTCTCGATCCAGCGATGTGCATTGGGGCCTCGGCTGTCCCGAGTTTCTCTCACTCTCCTCATTGGCTGAGACACAGCAGTGGGAGCCATTGGCTCCCACTGCTGTCAATCACAGCCAGTGAGGAGAATGTAGGATGTGGGGCCGAGCCGTGGCTCTATGCATCTCATGGATGCATAGAGCAGGGCTGGGGACAGAGCACGCATCATTGCCCCCATAGCAAGCAGCTTGCTATTGGGGGCGCTGGTCAAGGGGGGAGGAGCCAAAAGCGCCAGCGAGGGACACGAGAAAAGGAGGTTCAGGACTACTGTACAAAACCATTACAGATAAGTATTACATGTTTGTTATTTTTTTAAAATAAAACCAAACCTTTAATATTACTTTAAATATGCTTTTAATAGCAACTCACATTTAAAATACTCACATTTTTTACTACAAAATCCACATAAAATTTGCCTAAACAAGGCTTAAAATTATGTATTCGTGCTAAACAAATGTACATACAGTATAAGAGACCAAAGTCATAGTTTTAAATGCAAGTGGCCTGAATGTGTAAATTAACCTCCCTGGCGGTATGATTATTTCAGATTTTTGGTGCTGAAAGCGGTACCGTTATTTTGCATGGAAATATGTTGTTTTTTTTATTGTAGGCTGTAATTTTTAGGAATAACTCACTGAAATCTGTCCGAACAAGAGTCTATTAAAACATCCCGGGTATGATAAAATTTGAAACACGAAATCATAAATTATAATTTAATAAATAATCATAAAAAATAATATAATAATAATACATTTAATTCAATAATATAATCAAACCAAAAACACTGAAATTTGAAATATAGCGCCAAGTTCGTACATCGCTGAGCAAAGTCGCAAAATCGTTTTCAGTGTCTGATGACGAATTTCCCCCACGAATCATTATCACTCAATTCTGCAAGTGGTTCTGATTTACTATCTCTGTTCTCTAGCTGATCTAAACCCGCTTTTGACCTAAAGGGACACTTTTTGGACGCCATGGACGTTTCTCAGTTTCCAGGCAGAGAGAACAGACAAAATGCAGGCAGGGCACAGGACAAAGCACTCGGGACAAAATGTATGTGAAATGGGTTGAAACAGCAATGTTTTACTATGAAAAATTTGTTTTGAAAATGACAAAATGACTTTTTAAAATTTTCAAATTTCCCGCCGCCGGCGGCGCCCGTACATCCCGACGTCACAGGGACTGGAACACAGAAGCCAGATGTTGGCATCGGCCAGAGGAGATGGCCGGGGACGCTGCAGGGGACACATCGCGGGAGCGAAGGAAAAGGTAAGCTCTGTAGGGACTCCCTATGCAGTGCCGCATGGTAAGCCCGAGTGTAGCTCGGGGTTACCGCTTTTGGTACTGACATTTTACCCTGAGCTACACTCGGGAATACCGCTAGGGAGGTTAAAGACCAAAGTCTACACATTTCATGGGTTTTCCCACTTCTTCAGGATTCTTCTAGTCTTAAGGTTACTTTGGTCTCTTACATTTACATCTGCACATGGTAAAAGTGATCCAATTGGCTATATACAGCCGCTCAATCACTTTTAAAGGCAGTGTGGCACCAACAACCATGCCACATTCAAAGTCACTTAAATCCCCTTTCTTCCCCATTCATCATGTCTAGTTGCCTAAATGCACTTAGTTACTGCCATGTGACTGGCTGATTAGAAATTTGTGTTACCAAGCAACTGAACAGGTGTACCTAATAAAGGAAGGAGAGAGAGAGAGAGAGTTTCTAGCAAAAGAATGCAGATTTTTAAGTCCAGAGAGCCCCAGGAGCTTGCAAAACGCTATATAAAGTTTCTGAAAGTTTGAGCTTTACGCATTTCCTGCTAAAGGATACAAAACAATCAATAAAAACCTGACAGGAGTGATAACCCCCACTACTGTATAGAAAACAAAACCAAAAAAAAGGTTTTGGCTTTGAAAAAAAAATGTTGGCTTTGGATACACTATATAATAAAAGTGATCAAAAAACATAAATTTTCCTTTTAGGAGATCCTTTCTATATTTTGTTTAGATATTTGGCTTTTTTCTAACCTACTGCTGTGGACAAGTTCATTCTTTTTGCTGATGCAGTGAGATGGGGAATATGAAATACTTTACATTCGTACAGGAGGAAAAAAATATAAAACAGCAATAAGTTCTTCCTGAGATGTTCCCGACTAATTAAGTCACCAAGCCATTGAATTAAGTTGTTTCTTCCGGAGAACAGAAAACTGCTGCAGTAGAGGATTTTCAGTTCATGTCTGCAATCTGTGAACTGTAATCAGCCAAGCCAGCAACACTGTGTGCAGTAATTCAACAGATAATGCGATGAGATATCCTGGGGGAGTGTTTCTGAACCTGCATCCATCGGTGACCTAGTTCTTGCTCTGTACAACCACTGCTCCGAAAAGATATTTCATTTATCAAAGTTTTGGGTTTTTTTCTTTTCCGTGTTGCTGAATTACGAAAAAACTCAGGGTGGGGCTTGGATGTATTGTGTCAGTTTACAGGTGGAATAGGCACCTGGGACGGACTCAACAAGGAAAGAGGTCATTTACCTCTTACTTCAGTAGGAAGTGTAATGAGAACCTGCTTAATCGCAGAACAGAATGTACAGAAACAGAGAATATGAAATACCTGATTAAAATGGATTTCCACAGCAACCCGGTTAATTGCTGGAAGACTGCCTGAAACAACTGTTGTTGTGATCCTGACTGCTTGCTGCCATTCATCGGGGAGTTTGTGGACTCACTGCATGAACCCTCCATATTGTTCTACCCAATTAGAGGCCTATTAATTGAAGTCTGCTAAAAATATTTTGTATCAGAACGGTCTGCATAACATAACCTTGAAAGAGAAGTATGGTCATTTAAAAAAAAAAAAAAAAAAAAATCATACTCACCTAGGTGGATGTAGCACTGGCCGATGCTGCATCTGTTCCCCGCCGGGTCTAAGTGTGAGAACTCAGACATCACATGACTGCTGATCGCCGACTTCTCACAGCCGCTCTGAGCAGAGAGTGGGACTGTCAGTCACCGATGTCTGCTGGGCTGTGGTGGGGGAGGAAGCAGCTGGCTCAGGCCGGCAGCAGCCACTCGCTGACAGCCGGAGCAGCCACTCGCTGACAGCCGGAGCAGCCACTCGCTGACAGCCAGAGCAGCCACTCTCGCTGACAGCCAGAGCAGCCCACTCGCTGACAGCAGAGCAGCCACTCGCTGAGAGCCAGCAGAGCTGACAGCCAGAGCAGCCACTCGCTGACAGCCAGAGCAGCTGGCTCAGGCTCTCAGCCACTCGCTGAGAGGCTGAGCCAGGTGCCGCTCCAGACTCTGGGGTGGTGGATCCCCGACTTTGAAGTTGGGATCTTCCCCAGATTGGACTGGCTGAGTGATGTCAGCCAACAGCGAGCTTCAGCCCGAAGTTGCCTGAATACAGGTCACAGGAGTGCAGAACAAACTGCACTCCTGTGATCCACAGGATAATTTGGAAAAATGGTACTTTTTGCATCCCGTGTACAAATGCATACATCAGAACGCAGAAATGCACTGGATGAAAATGTATTAACCGCTTCCTGACCGCCCTATAGCAGAAATTATTATTATTATACAGGATTTATATAGAGCCAACAGTTTCGCTCAGCGCTGTACATTACAATGGGAGACAATACATAAGCCAGTACAGTAACAATACAATGCGATACACGAGGGGTTCGAGGGCCCTGCTCCTTGGAGCTTACAATCTAGGAGGGAGGGGATGGGTGGCACAGGAGGAAATAGCTGTGGGGATGGAGTGGTAGGATGAGTGGAGGAGATCGGCAATTAGGTGAGGGTGGGGTAGGCTTCCCTGAAGAGATGGGTTTTCAGGGTGCCCCTAAAGGTGAGGAGGGTAGGTGACAGTCTGATGGATTGGGGTAGGGAGTTCAGAGGATGGGGGAAGCCCAGGAGAAGTCCTGGAGAGGGGCATGGGAGGAGGAGACCAGGGAACTAGAGAGTAGGAGATCTTGTGAGGAGCGGAGAGTACGTTTTGGGTGGTATATGGATATCAGGTCGGTGATGTAGTTTGGGGCAGTGTTATGAACAGCTTTGTACGTCAATGTTAGTAATTAGAATTTTATGAAATACTGCTACAAGGCGGCACGGTGTGCACAAAATCACATAAATATACATGATTTTGCATTTCCGGGTAGGGGGCGCACGCGATGTGCACGCCCTACCCATGCCGCCATTCGCGGCAGCGGCTGTCAATCACAGGAACCCAGCCGGTGATTACTCATCGGCACCCTGTGATTTCCGAGGATCTGCAACGGGGAGGAGAACTGTTTTATTTACTAACAGTTCTCCTCCCTGTCAGCTCAGGCACACTGCTTTCAATGGCTGTGCACAGCACAGCCATCCAGAACAGTGTAATTACAGTGAAGCACACAGACACTGCCCCACAGTAAAACACTCCCAGCACACAGTTAACCCTTTTATCGCCCATCATGTTAACCCCTTTCTGGCCAGTGCCATTAGTACAGTGTCAGTGCTTTTTTTTTTTTTTTTTAGCACTGACCACTGTATTGGTGACACCAAGTCAGTTCCCTCGGTGTCAGAATGTCTGCCACAGTCCCGCTATAAGTCACTGATCACCGCCAAGTAAAAATTAAAAAGAAAAAAAATTCCAGTATATATACCACCATTTGTAGACACTATAACATTCACATAAACCTATTAATTTACACGTATTGGGATTTTTTTTTTTTTCAGCAAAGACATGTAGCAGAATACATTTTGGCCTAAATTTAGACAACATTTTTTACAGGACATGTTTAATAGCAAAAAGTCAAAAATATTGTCTCTCAAAATTGTTGGTCTTTTTTTATTTTATAGCACAAAAAGTAAAAAAACGCAGAGGCGATCAAATACCACCAAAAAGAAAGCTCAATATATGGGGAAAAAAAAGGATGTAAATTTCCTTTGAGTGCAGCTTTGCATGACCGTGCAGTTGTCCGTTAAAGTAACGCAGCACCGAAACGCAAAAAATGACCTGGTCAGGAAGAGGGTAAATCCTCAGGAGGGCAAGTGGTATATTCTCTATTAAATATACACAGAGTTTGCACATCCTAACAATTTAACCACTTGCCCTCCAGAGGATTTACCCCCTTTCCTGACCAGGCCATTTTTTCCCTATTTCCTCCTCAGTCTCTTTCCTCCCCCCCTTTTTTTCCCCCTCACCTCTGCCTCTCTTGCACTTGCTTCTTTCCTGTCTCTACCCTCCAACGTTCCTTTCTTTTTTCTCTTGTCTTACCTAGATATTCTATAATGGTGCACCGAATTAAAAATTCTAGATTGAAACTGAAAATTCAGGATGCACTTGGCTAAAACCAAAACCGAAATAGACAGTTTAAAAAACGATATATATTTTTATATATATAATTATATTATATTCAACTTTTTAATTAATGTAATGAATATAAATTAATATGAATTTAACAAATACAAACCAGTAACGTAAAGTAACATGTATTAAAATAACGCAAAAATTGGACAGAAAAAAAAAAAAAATATATCAAACTTAAACAAACTAAGTAGAGGTGTGTTTTTTACACTGAAGTCAATAGGGGGGGCATTTTTTTTAAATTGAAGTCAATGGGGGGGCGGTTTTTTTAAACTGAAGTCAAGGGGACGTGATTTTGCATTAAAGTCAATGGGAATGCGATTTTGCATTGAAGTCAATGGGACGCCATTTTGCATTGAAGTCAATGGGATGCAATTTAGCATTGAAGTCAACGGGACGTGATTTTGCATTGAAGTCAATTATTATTATCGGTGCCTTTTTTTTTTTTTCTAATGGCTAAACTCTGATAGGTCTATTTTAGGTCAATGAATTTCAGAGGCTGATATATCGGTGCATTACTAATTTTAAATTTAAATTTAGGGAGTACTTCTTGTTCACTCCCAGTTATTCTGTCTTGCATTAAAGCAAAGTCCCCCCTCCCTTCCTCCCAAAAGTTAAAAGTACTGTAGCTGCTGACTTCTAATATTTGGGCCCCCGCAGTGTCCTCACCCTGAGCCGATTTTTTCAATCTGCTATCGGGTGTTGGGGGGGGGGGGGGGGGGGTAGAGGCAGATCAGCAGAACTTCAACTTTTGGATGGAACTCCGCTTTGATTACTCCAACATAGCAAGGGGCAACATTATTTGCAATATTTTGGCTATCGACATTGATTTATGTTACTTGCCAATGGTCTCCTGTGTGCTACCCTATGAGCACGTTGACATGCTCTATGAGTTACAATG